CAACCCAGCTCTCTGCTGGATTGGCCCAGCTCTGGCTGTTGTAACCATTTTGGGAGTGAACCAGTGGATGGAAGATCTCTTTCTCTCTGCCTCTGACTCTGTCTTTCTGAAACTCTGAATTCCAAATAAATAAACAAATCTTTAAAAAAAAAATATTCTCTTGGGGCTGGCGCTGTCTGTGGTGTAGTAGGTTAACCCCCCCCCCCCCCCGCAGTCAACTCATGGGCACCAGACTGAGTCATGGCTGCTCCTCTTCCGATCCAGTTCTCTGCTATGACCTGGGAAAGCAGTAGAAGATGGCCCAAGTGCTTGGGCCCCTGTACCTGCTTGGGAGACCCAGAAAAAACTCCTAGCTCCTGGCTTCAGATTAGCCCAGCTGTGGCCATTGTGGCCATGTGGGGAGTGAAGCAGCGGAGGGAAGATCTTTTTCTGTTTCTCCTTCTCTCTTTCTATAATTGGAACTCTCAAATAATAAATAAAGCTTTTAAAAAAATTCTCAATGTTCCAAATGGATGGCCTTATTAACTTCCAAAATAGGATGGAAGAAATGTTTCCCCTTTACTACTAATAATAGCTAACATGCCAGGCACAATTTTCCAGCTCTCTGCATTAACTCATTTTATCTATTTGGTAACACCTACTTTGTAGGGATTTTTATTTCCCCCATTTTATAAAAGGCGATCTGCCCAGGTGTCTGCCCCATGCCCCATGCCCCACACCCTGTACCCCAGCCCAGCAATTGGAGTGCTTGGCCAACTGGTCTACCTCCCCAGTGATCACACTCATATTTCTTGTGCTCCAGGCCTTCGTCATCTGGAATCACTGAGAACATGTTCTGCTGACCCCAGGCCTGCCTTTACCACAGTGTTTCTCTCTTCCCACTGAGCCTCCTCCACGCAAAAGCAAATTTCATGCCATGAATGAATGAATCCCACATGGATGCCGATTCCAGTCCTGGCTGCTCCACTTCCCATCCAGCTCCCTGCTAATGCACCTGGGAAAGCAGCAGAACACGGCCTAAATACTTGGGTCCCTGCCACACACATGAGAGACCCAGATAGAGTTCTGGGCTTCTGCCTTCAACCTGGCTCAGCCTTAATGGTTTTGGCCATTGTGAGGTGAAGCAGTAAGATTTAAGATATCTCCCGCCCCCATCACTCCATCTGTCAAATAAATATATAAATAAGCCTAAAAAATCATTTGGGGGAGTAGGCATTTGACTTAGCAGTTAAGATGCCCAGGCCCCGTCAGAGTACATGGATTTGAATGCCACCTCCACTGCCTGCCTACAGTTTCCCATGGAGATGACTCAAGTAGTTGGGTCCCTGCCACCCAGGTGGATACCTGGACTGAGTTCCTAGCTCCTGGCTTCAGCTCCAGCCCAGCACCAGCCATTGCAGGTGGGAGCTCTCTCTGTACCCCACCCCCTCTCAGCCTTAAGAAGAAAAAAAGTTGTTTTGGTGGAACATACCAAAGCTTTCTGCAAGGCAAGCCACTCTGAAGAAGTCATTTGTTATCTCAAAGCCAGAATTCCCTGCACCGACTGCCTGGAGCTCTCTCTGCCCTCCCCACCAGTATCTCCTCCCACCCCTGAGGCTCCAGCCTTCAGGAAAGATCAGGCCACAGTGACCTTTGGCCACCAACAAAGAAAAAGCTATCTGGGCATTTGTAAACCTCTACTCCAGAGCTGTCTGTCCCTGACAAGGACTTTTTCAGAGAAAAGGACTTATTTTGTTCTCCAAACCATTTTTACCACATTCAAAACCAACCAGTGAGCCTACTGACACAGATGTGACATGCCTTCCCCGGAGCCACAGCCATCAAGGCCTTGGTATGCCCTGAGCAGCACAGTGGGTCCCCAGTGGTTTAATGCACAACTTTTGGATTCACAGACACAGCACCCCGCCATGATTTCAGAGAGCTTTAGACATCAGGAAAAGCATGTGGGATGGCCTTACAGAAACAATGCAGGGGCCGGCACTGTGGCGTAAGGGGTAAAGCCCTGGCCTGAAGCGCCAGCATCCCATATGGGTGCCAGTTCTAGTCCCAACTGCTCCACTTCCGATCCAGCTCTCTGCCATGGCCTGGGAAAGCAGTAGAAGATGACCCAAGTCCTTGGGCCCCTGCACCCATGTGGGAGACCCGGAAGAAGCTCCTGGCTTCTTCGTATCAGCACAGCTCCAGCCGTTGCGGCCAACTGGGGAGTGACCCAGTGGCTGGAAGACCTCTCTCTCTCTGCCTCTTCTGTCTCTGTGTTACTCTGACTTTCAAATAAATAAATAAATCTTTAAAAAAACAAAAAAGAAAGAAACAATGCAAAAAAGATCACGGAGACAGCACAATAATAAATAATGAATAGCAAACTTTTCAACTGGTCACAACAGTCTTAAAACTGAATAAAAAACTGTATAAAAATCTATTTGTCACGGGACATAAAGAACAGACTGTTTAAATATGGCATGTTGGAAAGATATCCAGTACAGCACACTGACAATAGCAAAAGAAAAAGACCACGAGGTAGAAAAATAAAGTGTAAATAAATCATTCTATTTCTTATTTCTCTGAATATTCATGGAGCACCTACTCTGGAGGCAACAAGCTTAAAGCTGAGGATATAGTGACAGTCTCAGGGGCTGGCATTGTGACAGATTAAGCTGCCACCTGCGATGCAGGCGCTGGTTCGAGTCCTGGCTGCTCCACTTTCGATCCAGCTCCCTACTAATGCATCTGGGAAAGCAGCAAAAGAAGGCCCAGGTCCTTGGGCCTCTGCACCCACGTGGCAGTCCTGGAAGAAGCTCCTGGCTTTGAACTGGACCAACCCTGGCTATTGTGGCCCTCTGCGGAGTGAACCAGAAGATGAATGATCTCTCTCTTTCTCTCTCTCTCTCTCTCTCATTCTCTGTAACTCTACCTTTCAAATAAATAAACAAATCTTTAAAAAAAAAAAAAAAGGCAGCCTCAGCTCTCTGCTTCTTTTCTATTCTGAGATACCAAAATAATTGCATTGTGTATTTTCCTCCAGCTATTATGAAAATATTCTGCTCTGAATAACAAGAAGAATGTAAACATTTTAAATGATGTTTAGGATACTCTGACAATAATGAAAAATGTTGTTGGGAAAACAGTGTTTAATAAAAGCAAGGGCAAGTATATAAAGCATATGAGCTCAGTGTGAAAAAGAAAGAGTAGAGGGGCTGGTGTTGTGGCTCAGTGGGTTAAGCAGCAAGCAGCCAGCTGTGACGCCAGCATCCCATCTGAGTCCCACTGTACTTAAGGAAAAAAGCAGAGACCCAGAAAAGAAACTGCTCAAAGGTAAGCAAGTGGCCAGCAGTTGACCTTCCATGAAAGAAAGGCAAGGGGCAGAAGCTACTCCAGTAACAGCAGACACAGGAGGTGTTCTTCCACTGGACCACCCCCCTCCCATCAAGGCCTCCCAGAGGCAGACGGGGGTCTCCACAGCTGAGTGCCCAGAGGAGCAAGCCTGTGCCACACACTGAGCCCCACAAACAACAGGAGGGCACAGTTTCCAGCCAGAGGCAGACAGGGCCACCTGCTGAATCCAAGCTGGCTTCCTGGTCCGGAAGCAGTCGGGAGCGCCTGGTGACCACACTGGCCTTGCAGCCCCAGGGGCTCCCTAGACTGAGGGGTCACAATTCCACTGAGATGCGGCAGCAGCTGTACGACGAACTGCAGCCAAGCATAGCTCCCTACCATCGGGTGCCCCCAGAGTCCACCGAGCCCCTCCACCCCTTCCTGACACCGGGAAGCTGCTGTGGAGCAGCCACAGTCACGCCACCCCCTTCACATACCCTCACCCGTTCAGACCTCAGGAATCGCACTTCTCATTTTACACAAAATCCCGGGGCTCAGAAAAGAAGCAAACGCAGCTCAAAGCCACAGAGCCAGGATGTGCTGCTGTCGGAATCCAAACACCAAAGCCCCTATCTCCCAGGACCTGGGGGACGCAAGTGGCTTCTCTGGCAGGCAGGGAACCTGGCCCCTGTGCTGTGTGAGGACAGGGACTGCCAGGTGCAGCTCCAACAGAGACCACATCTGGGGGCCAGTGATGTGGCACAGCACGTTACGCTGCTGCTTGCGACATAGGCATGCCATATTGGAGCCCCTGCTGAAGTCTCGGCTGCTCTGCTTCCAATCCAGCTCCCTGCTAATGTGCTTAAGATGGCGGCAGATCATGGCCAAAATGAATGGGTCCCTGCACCCACTTGGGAGATCAGGATGCAGTCCCAAGTTCCCAGCTTTGGCCCAGCTCCGACCTTGCTGTTTGAGAGGTGAACCAGGGTCTGGAAAATATCTGTCTGTTTGTCTCTGTGTGTGTTTGTGTCTGCCTTTCAAATAAATCAATTTTTAAAAATATTTATTTTATTTGAGAGGCAGAGTTACAGATAGAGTAGGAATGAGAGAGAGAAAGAGAGATCTTCCATCTGCTGGTTCTCTCCCCAAATGGCTACAACAGCAGGAGCTGGGCAGATCCAAAGCCAGGAGCCAGGAGCTTCTTCCAGGTCTCCCACATGGCTGAAGGGACCCAAGCACTTGACCCATCTTCCACTGCTCTCCAGGCCATTAGCAGGGAGCTGGCTTGGAAGTGGAACAGCTGGACTAGAACCAGAGACCATATGGGATGCCAGCACCGCAGGCAGAGGCTTAACCTACTATGCCACAGAGCTGGCCCCAAATCAATCAATCTTAAAAAAAAAGAAAAGAAAAGAAAACCCACACCTGGATCAATCTATGTCTACAAATTTCATCAGTCATGGCCACAATAAGCAGACAGAACAGCCTTCTGAAGGGATCGCAGGAGGGACGACGCTCTGCCCGGTCAGTGTGACGATGCAATGAATGCTTCTGTTTGCCGGATGAAGACGCTGAGCGCACAGAGGTCACGCAGCCGGGAAACATCGAAATGGGGCCCCGTGGATCTTTCACCCCGATGCCCCACTGTGAACCCCAGCTCCGCCCCAGCCCAGGGTTCCCGCTACTACCTTGGTTAAGGTAGGTCAGCGTCTCTTCGTGCAGCTTCACGGCCGGGGACGTGGCAGCACACAGCACATACTGCAGGGGCGGCAGGCGGGCCTCGTTCTCCGGGGACAGCTGGGGCTCCTCCTGCTTGAAGATGGGCAGCGCGAGCACATCACTGCAACACACGGGGAGTGGTGGTCAGCACAGGACCCGGTGAGCCCATGGGCACACAGCCAGCCGGCTGCAGGTGCGCGCCTCAGGGAGCCGTGCTCCGCAACACGGTGAACCACTCCCTTCGGCATTCCACTTTGACTCCGCGGTCAGGCTTTGTGGGAGGTGAAACACAAAATCTCTGAAAGCCTGCAGAGATCTGCTCGGCCGCAGAGCCCAGCAGTGGCCCACGCACCCTGACAGTTCATCCAGTTCCCATCCTTACAAACTCCTGCATTTCGAATAAGAATCGGAACACTTTTTGCTTTCAAATCGATGATTCTATTAATCAGCCACTTCTCAGACAGACGCTGTGCCCTGTCCTTGGGGCTCTGAAGAGAATGCAAATGACATCTGTGTCACCGGCCCAGGTTGAGAGGTCCCTCCAATCCTAAAAAGACGACGGCTGGCTCAGAACCCACAGTCAGGGTCACAGCAATCTCACAAACTCAGACCGAGATGGGAGAACTTCAGCTTCAATCAGTTTTCATACCTAAGCTTAAAATCCTCAGAGACTTCAAGACTCTCTTCTTCCACCTCTAAATACAACTCACCCTCCCCATGACAGCGATCAACCTCAGGCCCGCCCACCGCTGAGGACCTTGTTCCTTGATGTATTTTCAAAATGCCCTTGCCAGGGACAAAGAAATCCTTGTGAACACGAACAACCTGCAGCAGAGACTCGCTAAATTGTCAGCAGGGCAGAAACGTGTGCCAAAAACGCGCCAGGGTGCTTATCTTGATCAGCCTCCTCCCTTCGTGGGTCCCGGGTTATGAATCAGATCGGCTGACCCCACTCCACTGTACAAACACAAGAGTCACCAGTACAATCTGTTCCTCGTACAACATCGTAAATGCGTGTCACTAAAACACAACCTGGCACACACCCCACCGAGGTCTAACTAATTCTCAGAGGAAAAACAGGGCTTCGGGCGCAGCTGGACAACCTGCCCTGTGTGGGCTCCCCCCACCCAAAGACAGCGCAGGGCCTCACACAGCGCCTTCCGTGAGCCAGAGCACCCGCTCCCGGCTGTGTGGTTCTCTAGGAACACACTGGAAGCAAGCAGGCCTCTGCTCACCTGGGGATTGCATAATCTCACGTCGGCCCAGACCATGGCAAGTTAATAATCCACGGGCTGCTGCCTTTAAATTAAAAAAAAAAAAAAAAAAAAGGTGGGGGTGAAAGGCCATCGCTCAACAGTAACTTGTTTCACGCCTGGCATCCTTATTTGCCAAGGAATAAAAGTCACAAGAACATCAAACACAAAGGGGAAGAGAGTACAGGCCACAGCTCCTGCGAGGCCGCACGGCTCTCAGAAGCTCTGGGAGCAGATGACCCAAAAAGCAAGGAGGAGGACAAGACCTCCACTCTAGGATCCAGGGACCACACTAAGGTCAACCCCTAGGAAAGTGAAGCTCCCAGCTTCCAAAGAGTGAGAGGGGGAGCCAGGACCCAAAATTTTCGCCAGGAACCAAGCACCTTGGACCTGCACCTCCCACCCTCTTCCAGTAGCAAAACCCTAAGAGGTATCTGAGGTCCCAAAGCTACACCTCCCTCTCACAGGGAGAACTGGGCCCCAGTGTAGGTCTCAGGGGCACCTCAGCTGCACTTGTGCCCCCTACTCGGGGTCACCTTCAAACTCACTCAGGGGCTACGGCCACATGGTCACTGGGTTCCAGGGAAGCGCCCATCCCGCAGGGCACCGCCCTCTGAGGACACCCCCCACCCCTCCGGTGGCCGGCAGCCCTGCAGACCCGCCTGCACCGGCTACCCCTTCGCAGCAGCTGATGCCCCAAGTGCAGCCCGCTGACCCCTCTGCCTCCTGGAAGCCGGTGCTGTGCTGGGGCCCCCTGGCCCGTCCCCACCGGAATTCGGGAAGGACGGCCAGGCCGGACACATCGGAGCGCGGGCTAGGCGGGGACCACAGAGGCGCGCAGGGCAGGTGCGCGCAGCACCCGCGGCTCCTTCGGCTCGCAGTTCACTTTCCCTGAGCCCTCAGCAAACGGCCTTTGGGTTAAGTCGGGCGCATCGAACAAACTGGACAGGCCAGAGCTGGTCCCGGCGAGCGCAGAAGAGTGAAGTGACCGCGCCCGTTAGTACCCGGCCAGCTGCGGGACTGGGACAACCACCCCGCAGGACCCGGAGCAGAAGGGGCCCCTGCTGCCTAAACCAGGGCGGCGGGGAACGCTGCTTCTCCCTCCAAAGAGCGCTGCTCAATTCCCAGTAGGAAAAAGAGCTTCCGCACAGCGCCACCGGCCACGACTTCCCCGTGGCGGGCGCCGGGCGGGCGCTGCAAGTTGCCTCGACTCCTCTCGGACAGTAGCCGTTTAAGGAGGCGCGCGAGGACGCGGCGGGTGTGGCCCCGGGCGGGCCCCCGGCTCCGCGCCCGGGTCCCGCCGAGCGGCGAGCCCGGCCGCGCTTACCGCAGGTAGCTGCCGGAGCTGTGCTGGTTGTAGTGCTCGGGCTGCGTGTGCCAGAACAGCATGGCTGCAGCGCGAGCGCGCCGGCGACGCGCAGAGCCCTCGCAGCGTCCCCGGGAGCCGCACTCCGCGCCCCAGGTGCGCGCCAGCTCCGCTCATTTATGGGCGGCCCAGAGGCGGGGCCGCGGCCGGGCCCTCCCCGCGCCGGGAAGCGCGGCGGCCAGGGCGGCTCCCCGGCGGCCGGCGCACCTGGCGGCGGGCGCACCTCCGGGGCTGCGGGGCGGGCGGCCGAAGCGACCCCCATAGCCCCCGGCTTGCCACGCCCACACCTGTGCCCCTGCACCCGAGAGTCCGCCGGGAGCTGAACTGCAAGGCGCTGCCGGCCCTCACCTTCTCGGCCCTCTACCCTCGCAAATCAAGGCACTTTCTATTTGTCTCTCTCGCACGGCCTGGGCTCCCGACCTCGTGCTGTTACCCTCACTGCTCAGAATAGAGCACAGAACCTAGGTCAGCGCTGAATAGCAGCAAATATCGGGGGGGGGGGGTAGTCAGAGAAGGCTCCCTGGAAGAGGTGACTTGGAGCTGAGGCGTGACGGCCACAGAGGAAGCGTTTCGGTGAGCATCTGCAGGGAAAGGGAGCCAGACAGGGACTACCGCCAGTGCCAAGGCCTGAGACCCACCTACCTGCTTTGACCTGTCTGAACGGGGCTGACCAGGTGCCTGAGGTGGGCCTGAGCCAGGGCTCTTTCCTAGGAACGTTTTAAGCGGAGGCTGTCGCGTTTACGATTTGCCTTTTGGAAATGCAGTTTGACAGCAGCGTGGACCATGGAGTGTGGTGAGGGGCAGTGAGGAGGGAGTAGAGAAATGCCCCTTCTGTCCCTGAGGGTTGATCCAAGGACAAAAAGTCCTCAGGAGACCCTGGCCCAGAACTCCCAGCTCCCCAGTTCACGGATGGGGGTAAAACCCTCCCTTCTGCTGCCCTGTTCCCCCGGCCCTCCAGCCCCCGATCTGGAGGACGACCGCCCCCATCTGCTCCTCTGCCCTGTAAGGAACCAACCACAGCAGTGCCTGCAGCACACAACCCCCTCCGGCACTGCCTCGGCTGCAGAAGCCACCTGGCCCGAGGCCACGCCCCCTCGGGGCGGTCCTTATCCCACTGACCGTCCCAGCAGGACTGCCAGAGCCTAGCATCTCCACCCAGGTGAGGACACTGTCCCTTTGATATTGGATCCACGGGACTCCCCGTGGAGAAAGTTGGTGTGCCTAGCTGCTCCAGGTCTCCCTTGGTCCACTCCTGCTTCCTTCCTGTCCCCTGCTCAGGTATGAATCCTAAGGAAACTTCCTAATAAATATCCTGAACCCTAAGGCCCCCAGCCTGCCCAGTTAAATGGGAGGCACTCTGGAGTGTTGCAGAAAGAGCACACCCCAGGCTGGGTCCTTCAGTTCCTCGACTGATAGTGGCCAGCGGCCAGGGAAGCAGAGGCAGCCCTGGAAACATAGAGCAGGGCTTGGTAGCTCTGCAGAGTCTCGGGGCACGGCTGGGAGTGAAGCCAGGCTGTGCAGTGCTGAGGGAAGGAGCTGTCCAGGTGAGCAGGCATCCTGAACAAAGGGGGAAGGGAGCTGCATAGAGGGAGGGAAGCGGGTGAGGCTGAGACCTGGGTGTACCGCTTAGCTCTGTCAGAACAGGTGGCCACATTAGGATACATCGACCCCAATATAAACAGATGGTTTCTGTTTCCCAGCCCTCCCTGTTCCATCTGGGCGATCCTTGTGACTTGCCTGGGCCTTATAATGAGCGGGGGGGGGGGGGGGGGGGAAGAGGGGTGGAGGAAGATGACACTGCCCCAGTTCCAGGCCAGCCCTGGGAGCTCCAGCCCATGATAGGACAGCCTGCAGTCATTCCCATCCCCACCCCCCAGCAGACCCATCTAGGATGTGCAAGGGACCTGCTGCAGTAGGCGCAATATCTGCCTAATGTGCAGACTCAACAAATAGCTGTTTTGGAAATGGTTTGTTTCACACCAACAGAGAAAGGAGATACCTGATCCTCACACCTCAGTTGTGCCACCAACAAAATGGGAATAATAGGCTTAGTTCTGGGGCTGGCACTTTGGCGTAGTGGGTTAAGCCACCACCCACAATGCCAGCATGGGCGCCAATTCGAGTTCCAGCTGCTTCACTTCTGATCCAGCTCTCTGTAATACACCTGGAAAAAGCACCAGAAGGACCCTGCACCCTCATGGGAGACCCGGAAGAAGCTCCTGTCTCCCAACTTCAGATCAGCACAGCTCCGGTCATTGTGGCCAACTGGGGAGTGAAACTGTGGATGGAAGAAACAGTGGATGGAAGTATCCACTTGACACATTTAGCTGCTGAGCACTTGACATACGGCTGGTGGGACAGGCATTTAGCACTGCGGTTCAGTTGCTGGTTGGGACACCTGTGTCCCTTATCAAAGAGCCTGGTTCCTCTTCTGCTTTCCATCCAGCTTGCTACTAAAGTGCATCCTGAGATACAGCAGCTGATGGCTCAAGTACTTGGGTCCCTGCCACCCACATGGGAGACACAGAGAATTCCAGGCTTCTGGCTTTGGCCTGGCCCAGCCTTGGCTGTTGTGGGCACTTGGGGAGTGAACCAGTGGATGGGAGATTTCTGTCTGTCCCTCTGTCTCTCTGTCTTTGTGCCTGTCTCTCTGCCTTTCTAGTAAAAGGAAAATTTAAAAATTCATTTACTACATAGAAATGCAAAGTCCATATCAAATTCAAAAACCATGAAACAAGGATAGAATATAGCCCGCCAATTCCTTTCATACAGATCACATGGGAATGAGAATGTTTTGAATGTGTTGGATTAAATGCAATGTGCTGAAAATGAATTTTACCTGTTTATTTTTTCCTTTTTAAAAATTACATTTCTAGGGCTGGGCTTTGGTACAGTGATTAACATGCTGCTTGGGATGCCTGCATCCCATATCAGAGTGCTTGGGTTCGAGTCCTAGCTCTGCTTCCAATTTCAACTTCCCACTAATATTTACCCTACGAGGCAGACAATGATGGCTTAGGTGCTTGGGCCCCTGCCACCCATGTGGCAGAACCAGGTGGAGTTCTGGGCTCCTGACTTCCATCTAACCCAGCCCCAAGCCTTACAGGCGTTTGAGGGAGGAGTGAACCAGCAGTGGAGATCCTCTCTCTCTCTCTCTCTCTCTCTCTCTCTCTCTGCCTTTCAAATAAAATAAAAATAAATAACTTTTAAATTATATCTGCGGCATGCATTTTATTCCCATGGGACAGATGTGGTCTCAGGCAGCAGCTCTCAGTCACAGGTGATGGTGCTCCCCGGAGGACAACAGCACTCTCTGGAGACACTTGTGTTTGTGACAGCCGGGGATGGAGGCCAGAGAGTCTGCGAAACAGCCAACAAAGGTTTAGCTGGCACAAAATGTTAACAGGGCTCAGACTGAGAAATTCTGCTTTAGAGGCAGTTAGTTCACAGCATCTACAAAATCAAGACCCCAGTGTTTGGGGGCTGTTTCCTTGCCATGGGTAATGGTCATTTGCAAGATCACAGCATAGTCTACAATGGCTGCTAGAGCTCCAGCCATTATGACAGTATTCCCACCAGCCATAAAGAGGAAATCCAGAATAAAGGCATGCCTTTGCTCTTCCAGAGAAATGTATAAACCACCTGTGCTTCTCCCCCAGTGACTAAAACCCAGCTGCCTTCCCGTGCTGCATGAGAGACTGGGAAATATAGTCCTTATTGGAGCGGCATGTGAAGGAAGACTATGCAATCTGCCATACTTTGCCAGGGGCACCAGGCAACAAATGCACTCCCGTTTTACAGACAAAAACACCGAGGCACAGACCCAAGCGTGCACTGGGGTCTCCTGGCCTCTGGTTGTCTCCTCACTGCCCTGCACACTCGGCTCCATTCCACAGGGGTCCCTTGAATCCCGTTTGCCAGTGGCCCAGAGCACCCCCGGTGTGGTTTATCTGCACGTCGGAGCCCAGATTCTCCATCAATCACTTTACCAGCAGAGTGAGCCAGCGATGAAGATGCCTGCATCCCATACTGGAGCATTTGGGTTCCGTTCCCAGCTCTGGCTCCCAACTCCTGCTTCCTGCCAACACATACCCTGGGAGGCAGTGATGAAGGCTCAAGTACTTGGGTTCCTGCCACCCATGCAGGCACACAGGGTGCATTCCCAGCTTCGGGCCAGGCATTCGACAAGTAAACCAACAGATGGAACACTTTCTCTCTCTCTCTCTCTCTCTCTCTCTCCCCCTTCCTCCCTCCTTCCCTCCCTTTCAAATAAAATGAAAAATATAGGTGATTAGCTAGATAGATGATAGATAGAGATAGACAATAGGTAGATAGATGATGATATGATGATAGATACATATAGATTAATAGATGATGCAGGTCATGGATAGGTGACAGATAAAGATAGATAATGGATAGATAGAAGATAGATAAGTAATAGATGCTGATGATAAACAGATACATATAGATAAATGATGATAGAGATGATAGGGGATTGATAGGTAATAGATAGATGATAGATATGACAAACTAGAAAAAAATGAAATACAAATAAAGAACTTCACTGGCTTCTTGAAAGAGGAGGATAGCTCCTCCAAGATGCCCCTCCACATCAGACATCATCTGAGGGGTCCTTAGGGTTGGTCCTGCACCAACCCCGGCTCCTGAGCCACAGCAAGCATGCATGGGTAACAGAAGATGCTCCCAGTGGGGGAGCCGGGTGAAGGAACCACAGGCATTCTCTGAATTCTACTAGCACTTTTCTGTACATCTGAAATTATTCCAACCTTTAATGATTCTTTACAAAAATGTCTCTTCAGGGTTCAAATGATGAGACAGGAATTTGTGCAGGAATGGTTTGGTCTTCTTGGAGGAAGCTCACTCACCTGCATCATCACATTCTTCACGTTCCTAACAGGCCAGATGGGCTGGGTGTATTCTTTTTCTGTTTTAATTTAAAGTCAGAGTTACAGAGAGAGAGAGAGAGAGAGAAACAGAGATCTCTTCCATCCACTGGTTCACTCCCCAGATGTCCACAATCCCAGAGCTGCGCCAGGCCAAAGCCAGGAACCAGGAGCTTCATCTGACCCTCTCACATGGGCGCAATGGCCCAAGCACTTGGACCATT